TATTTACAGGATTTTGATAATAAACTTCCTAACTTTTAATTAAAGCTGATCAAAATATGTCCTGAGGGCTTCCCTGGTGGCGCAGTGGTTGACAGTCCGCCTGCCGATGCAGTGGACACGGGTTCGTGCCCCGGTCTGGGAAGATCCCACATGCCACGGAACGGCTGGGCCTGTGAGCCATGGCCACTGAGCCTGCGCGTCCGGAGCCTGTGCTCCACAACGGGAGAGGCCACAACAGTGAGAGGCCCGCGTACAGCAAAAAAAAAAAAAATATGTCCTGAGTATTTACCATGTGTGAGGCAGTGTGCCGTTTAGCAAACAAAGGTGAATAACAGACAAATTTTTTACTTTTTTCTGCAATTTAATAACAAATAAACATACAAATATAGCTCCGATATAGAAGTCTGTGAAAGACTATAAAGAAAGGACTATGAGAATTCTTATGTAGCAGAAAAGAGGAATCAGAAAGGATTCATAAAGTTGTGATACAATAAACCTTGAAAGAAGATAAATCTTCATCTAGGGAGATAGCACGTAACATGAGGATATATAAAACAACTGAGACTGGAAATATTCAAGGCTGTTTGATTTCTAGTCACTGATGAGTCTAGAGGAAAGTTTGAAAAAGAAGAAGCAGGCTTACAGGAAAATTTCAGAAGACTGAGCAATGAGTGGATGGTATGAGCTTAGAGCTGGTAGACAGATTACTACTGAGAGACTAAGAGACATAGAGAAGAGACTAAGAGATACAAAGGAGAGATTGAGCTGAGACACTGAGGAGAGCTGGAGAGAGAGTGAGGCAGAGAGACTAAGAGACACCAACAAACACTGAGAAGGAAGACTGAGAAGGACAAAAAAAAGACAGAGACAGAAAAAGACAGAAGGGCATATAAATAAAGGAGAAAGTAAAAGGATAATTATTTTGTTGGTGTTGGGTAAAGAGGCTTTGTGAAGATTTGCAGGCAAAGAAAAAAGCTAACAGAGGGAAGGAGATATCAGATGGAGAGAAGACTAATGAGACTAATGAAGCATCATTTCAGAAAAGGTGGGCAGAAAGGGTTCAAGAAACAGCATGACACAACACTCATAAGGCTGTTTAAGACAAAAGGGAAGAATGCTAAAGAAACACAATGAATAGCATCAAGAGAAATAGTAAAGGAGAAGTTATATGCTGCAATTCAATGGAACATCATCAAGCACACAAAAAAACTTCAATAAATATTTGCTAAAGAAATCAAGAGAGTATTGATTGTCAACCTGTCAGTCTTAGCTAAGTTCTGCTGAGCTATTAGCAGTCTAAACACAAAAAAAACATGCTTATCACATTTGCAGCTAGCCTTAGATTTCAACTGTCTGCTTGACCATCTACAATTCTATGACTCTTAGGCATCTCACCACTCAGCTATTCAAACCAAAATGTTGAATTCACCAAACGCTTCCTTCTCCCTCATCCCCCCACATCCAACCATTCTCTAAGTAACAAGGTGATTTTTTCACTATTTTTAAAAAATTGACATATAAGTGATAACAGCATTATATTCATTTCAGATATATGACATAATGATGCAGTATTTGTAATATATATTATGAAATGATGTCTACTTAACATCCATCACTATACATAGTTACAAAAAAATTTTTTCCTTGTTATGAGATCTTTTAAGATCTACTCTTTTGGGCTTCTCTGGTGGCGCAGTGGTTGAGAGTCCGCCTGCCACCTGCCGATGCAGGGGACACAGGTTCATGCCCCGGTCCAGGAAGATCCCACATGCCATGGAGCGGCTGGGCCCATGAGCCATGGTCGCTGAGCCTGTGCGTCCGAAGCCTGTGCTCCGCAACAGGAGAGGCCACAACAGTGAGAGGCCCGCGTAACGCAAAAAAAAAAAGATCTACTCTTTTAGCAACTTTCAAATATACAATACAGTATTATTAATTATAGTGACCATATATACATTACATTCCCATTACTTATTTATTTTATAACTGGAAACCTATACTTTTTACCCCCTTCGCCCATTTTCCCCACTCCCTACACCTGCCTCTGGCAACCACCTATCTGTTCTCTGTATCTACGAGTTCAGTTTTTTTTAGATTCCACGTATAAGTGAGATCATACAGTATTTGTCTTTCTGTGTCTGACTCAGTTCAATTAGCATAATGCCCTCAAGGTCTACCCATGTTGTCAAAAACAGGAAGGTTCCCTTCTTTATTAAGGCTGAATTATATGTATTTTTTTCTTTATCCATTCATACATCAATGGGCACTTAGGTTGCATCCATGTCTTGGCTATTATAAATAATGCTGCAGTGAACACTGGAGTGCATAGATCTTTTCAAGTTAGTGCTTTTATTTTCTTCGGACCCAGTAGTGAAGCTGCTGGATCATATGGCAATTCTATTTTCAATTTTTTGAGGATTCTCCATACTGTACTCTATTGTGGCTACATCAATTACATTCCCACAGATAGTGCGCTTTTCTCCACACCCTTACCAACATTCGTCATTTCTTGTCTTTTTGGTAATAGCCATTCTAACAACTGTAAGGTGATACACAATTGCAGTTCTGATTTGCATTTCCCTGATGATTAGTGATGATGAGCACCTCTTTATGTACCTGTTGGCCAACTGTATGTCTTCTTTGGAAACTGTCCATTCAGATCTTCTGCCCACTTTTCAATTAGATTGTTTGTTTTTCTGCTATTGAGTTGTATGAGTTCTTCATATATTTCAGAGATTAACCCCTTACCCAATACATGATTTACAAATATTTTCTCAACTTGGTAGGTTGCCTTTTCATTTTGTTGATGGTTTCCCTTGCTGTGCAGAACTACTTTAGTTTGATGTAGTCTCACCTGTTAATTTTTTTATTTTGTTGCCTTTGCTTCTGGTCTCACATCCAAGAAAATCATTGCAAAGACCAGTGTCAACTAGTTTACTGCCTATGTTTTAGTCTAGGAGCTTTATGGTTTCAAGTCTTATGTTCAAGTCTTTAATCCATTTTGAGTTAGTTTTTGTGTATGGTGTTAAAAAGCGGTGTAGTTTCATTCTTTTGCATGTGGCTGTCCCGTTTTTCCAACACCATTTATTGAAGAGACTGTCCTATCCCATTGCATATTCCTTGGCTCCTTTGTTGTAAATTAACTGACCACGTATGTGTGAGTTTATTTCTGGACTCTCTACCCAAGTGATTTTTTGAAACATAAACCAGATCCCTTCAATGGCTTCCCACTACATTTAGAATATAATCTACACTTCTAACCCAGAGACCTATGAGGCCCTGAATATTCTGGATCCTGTTCCATCTCTCTCCAATTTCATCTCTAGCTACTTCACATACTACTTTACTATCATTCCAGCCAAACTGGCCTTCTTTTAGATCCTGCAATTCACTAAGCTCCTAAGTCACCCTGTAGACTGCATTTGCTGGTCCTGCTTAAAGGAATACTCATCCCCTATACCATGCCTTCAATTTCTTGAGATCTCAGGTTGAATGTCACTACCTCAGTGAGACCTTCCTAATACCCCTACAACCAAACTGATAAAAAATGGGTTCCTGGGCTTCCCTGGTGGCACAGTGGTTGAGAGTCCGCCTGCCGATGCAGGGGACACGGGTTCGTGCCCCGGTCCGGGAAGATCCCACACGCCGCGGAGCAGTTAGGCCCGTGAGCCATGGCCCCTGAGCCTGCGCATCCGGAGCCTGTGATCCGCAACGGGAGAGGCCACAACAGTGAGAGGCCCGCGTACCGCAAAACAAAACAAAACAAATTAAAAAAATGGATTCCTTCCTGCAGAATCTCATAAGAATTCTGTGTGTTTCTTTCACAGTACTCAATCACAATTTGGAATTATTTATTTATTTGTTTGTTTATTCAATGTTCACCTCCCTAAGAATGTCTAATTGCAGGCACCAAGAGGGTAGAGACTGCTAAATCTCCAAGAGCCTAGTGCTCTGTAGATACTTAGTCATTTGCACAACCAAACAATACTTTAAGAAAATTTTGCAATGTTTTTTTTCTTGTCAGATTGAAAAAAGTGTCCATAGAATGGCTAAGAAATCTAAACTAAGCACAATCTCCAGAAAATTAAGAAATGTGGTACTAATCAGAAGAACATCATAAAACCTGACAATCAAAATAACTCAAAAATTAGGCAAGTACTTATTATATGCCACCTATGTAGATGATGAGGATGCTATTATAAGACAACAGACCACGTCCAATGTATCAAATTTTTCTAAGAACACAAAATCTCAAGTACAAACTCCCAAGTCTCGAAAAATAAATAGTTTGCCTATTAAAAAATAACTTTTTGTCTATTAAAAGTCAATTCTAGTTTACTGAAATGTTACTGAAAATTGTCAGTTTAGGGAAGGAGAGAAAACACAATTCCAGGTTTCCATTTCCAGATTATAGATCCAGGCAATGGACAGTCTTTACATCTGCAAGTTTAACAGAAGTAGCAGCAGCAAAACAACAGCAATCACTTGGGTTTTCTTGGATGACCAAGTGAAAGGCCATTTGTTACTGCTAAACTAGTCATAAAATATTTCAAAATATGATGTTCAAAGTCAATAGAATAGATATTCTTGCTACTGCTGTATAGTATGGGAAAATATGATGAACTAAGGGCTACAGATTTAACTTGCTTTGTACCTTCAGACAAATAATTTCACCTCTCTAGGTCACACTTTCCACAGTCATAAGGTGAGAGGTTTGTACCAGATCCACTTTAACAATCCCTGTAGCTCTAGTCATATCTCATAATACAAGTATATAAGTAAATATATGTCAAACTAAAATTTTCTCTGGTATTAGACCAATGCAAATAAGGCAAATGTTTTTTTCCTTTAAAAATTCTCAAAATCAGTGTTCTAAATTTTAATAACATGGTAAAAATGTTTTGTACTGACAAATAAAAGTACCATAACTGAAATCTTACTCATTCCATCTTGAATTAGAATATGTGACATTAAATTTGAACCAAATCAATAATGATGCTCACCGATACTGATATGTCCTCATTTTTTCTCTTAACACTGGAGTCAAACAAGACATTTCTCCCTCGTCTTTCACAGTCTTGATATACAATTAGTCGAATTTGGCTTGGATCAAACTCTGGCAAAGGCCAACTTTAAAGAAAAATAAAGATTCATTAGAATTACTTTAATAAATATTCCACATAAACTCCTAGAAATAAAACCTATATAATGAAACCCAAAGTTGTACTACTGCTCAAGATAACACAGAAGAACTTAATATAAAACACCACCATTTAGTTTCACCATTTAGCTTAGGACTGAAAATTTACACAGCTATGACATTTTAGATTAAAAAGAATAAAATCTGTGGCAAGTATTACTCAGTGTTTATAAAATATACTCATCCCACATGAATCTAAAAATAGCTAACAATAAAAATATGTCAGTACATTTAATATAATGAAAATACATATTAAATTTCCTGGCATGGACTCAGATGGCATAAGGCTAACCCAGATTTTTAAATACTTTTGTTACTTTAATATCAAAATGAAAAAACAGGAACAGTTTTCAGTTTAAATAACAGTAGCTAATTCCTTATAAAACAAAAACAAGTAAAAAAGTGATGAACAACAAAATGGGGTAGAAATCCTCATATATAGTTGGTGTGAGTGAAAATGGCATAATCTCTTTAGAGAATAGTTTTTTAAATATGTACACTAATTAGACAAATCTAGTAAAAATGAAGTTGACCCAGCAATTCCATTCCAGAAAAGTATGCCATTATACAAGAATGTTCATAGCAGCACTGTTCATAATAGCTGAAAACTGGACACTATTCATATACTTACCAACCAAATGGGTAAATATTCATACTATGAAACACCACACAACAAACATAATGAATGAACTTCAGCTACAGGCAAAAACATAAATGGACTATAAACAAAAGAAATTAGACAATGACACACAATGATACCCATAAACACAGTTACTGTATTTTGCCATTTATAGGAAGATTTAAATCAGGTAAAGTTTTATCAAGGGATGAATATTTAGTTTTTAAAACTATAAGCAAAACAAAGGAAATGATGGCTTCAAAAGTTTGGAGAGTGGCTATATGTAGGAATTAGGTGAGGGTGGTGGGGGTTATACCAGGAGGGCTGGGGCACTGATGATGTCCTATTTTTTGACTTGATAATGTTTACACAGATACAGTACCCAAAAGGAAAAAAAAGCAAGTCCACTGCATTTGTTTTGTGTACATTATATTTCACAATTAAAAAGACTAATGGAGTGAGTGAGATGAGGAGGAGAGTGAAAGAGAAAACAATGAATTGTATGATGGAGATAAGAATCTGGTGAACTGAAGGCACTACAACATGTAGGACAGTTGCTAAGAAAGAGAACTGTCGTTCCAGGAGCTGTCTGTTGTTAGGCTGAATGGTCAACTCCTCACAATTCATCAGTCACAGCTTTTGATTGCGTTCCTTCATTTCCTTAAGAGAACCTTAACCCTAACCCTATTGATGCATGTTAAAAAATCCATAACTGGCAACATAACACATCTTCATCCCAAATTTTGACAGCAAATACAATTTTAGTTTTCCTATATTTAATCCTTAGCAAATGTCTATGAATTGATGAAAGACTTATCCTAGACATTCAAGCTAAACCAGAGATTCATCCTTAGACCACAATGATTTGCATCCCCCTGAACAGCTTTTACTAAACTGTGCTTTGATGTTATGCAAAGGAAACTATAAAAGGACAGACTGTTTTGGAATTAAAATCAGGAAGCTGGCCTCAAAGAAAGAGGAGCACTTTAGAGAGGAAGAAGAAATACCACAGTTGTTACCAAAAAGCATCCACTAGCTTTAGAAACAAAGAAGACATTGGTGACCATGGCAAGGACAGTTCTAAGGACAGAGTCTTGGGGTCAAACTGTAGAAAATTGAGGACTAAACGAGAGTAAACAGTGAGTTTAAGACAAATGTCAAGGAAAGAGAAAAAGAAAAGGAATCATGAAGTAGAGTGACAGCTATTTTGTTATTAAAAAGGACACATCTGAACATGTTTACATATTGATGACAAAGAATGTGAAGTGGAAGGGAGATGGTGATTGACAAAGTAAGGCGTCTAAGGAAGCGGATGAGGATAGGATACAGAGTACAGATGAAAGGGTTAACCTCAGAAGAAATGATAACCCCTTTGCTAGGATAAAAAGGAAGCAAAGATGGACATGGATACAGAAAGATTTATAGATATGAACGTAAGGATGAGGGGACTCATGTCTAAGAGTCCTATATTCTTTATAAAGTAGGTGAAGGAAAATAAAGGATAGGTTGTAAAATGTGGGGACAGTAGAGAGTAAAAAGAGAGCACTCTTTGTGGCAAAATAAAATATGTTGACTAGGAAACATAAGATTTCTTGGAAATTCTCCCCTTTCCCCACTGGTAACCAGTAGTTTGTTCTCTGTATCTGTGAGTCTGTTTCTTTTTGTTATATTCACTAGTATGTTTTATTTACACATATAAGTGATATTATACAATATTTGTCTTTCTCTGTCTGACTTACTTCATAAGCATGTGGGGTGATGAAATGTTCTGGAATTAGATAGCAGTTATGGCTGCATAACTCTGTGACTATACTAAAAAACCACTAAACTGTATACTATACACAGGTGAATTATACAGTATGTGAAATTTATCTCAACAATAATAAAAAAGTTAGAATGCTTTGCTCCTGAACTTATCTAAGCATTTGTAAAGTATTCTCTGTTAACTCAAAACAAGATTATATGTAAAAGCTTAAATTATAAAGCTTCTAGAAAGAAACATAGGGTATCTATACAATCATGGAGTACAAAGAGTTCTTTAAAAAGACACAAAAGTTATTAAGCATAAAAGAAAAATTGATAAATTGGACTTCATTAAAATTTAAAACTTGCACATCAAAAGGCAAAATTTTTTTAAAAGGCAAGCCATAAACTGGAAGAAAATATTTGCAATGTATATAAATGACGAAGGACTTGTAAACAGCCTACACAAAGAACTCCTACAAAGCAATAAAACAAACCATTCGCCCAATTTTAAAATGGGTGAAAGGCTTGGGCATTTCACATAAGGAGATATATGAATGGTGAAGGAACAAAGCACATGGAGACGATACTAACAGTATTAATCATCAGATAAATGCAAATTAAAACCCTTCCACAAAAGACTAATAACAGTAGTTGTTGGTAAGAATATGAAGCATGTGGAATCTTATACATCGTTGGTAGGAGTATAAAAGGGTACAACCATTTTAGAAAATTATTTGGCAGCTATGACCCAGCAATTCTTTTCATAGATACATATCCAGTAGAAATGAAAATACATGTTCAAAGACTTTCATAAAAGTGTTTCTTGCAGGGCTTCCCTGGTGGCGCAGTGGTTTAGAGTCCGCCTGCCGATGCAGGGGACACGGGTTCGTGCCCCAGTCTGGGAGGATCCCACGTGCCGCAGAGCGGCTGGGCCCGTGGGCCATGGCCGCTGAGCCTGCGCGTCCGGAGCCTGTGCTCCACAACAGGAGAGGCCACAACAGTGAGAGGCCGGCGTACCACAAAAAAAAAAAAAAAAGTTTCTTGCAGCTTTATTCCTAATAGCAAAAAACTGGGAACACCCAAATGACCATCAATGGGAGAATAGATAAACAAGCTATGATACATTCTACATTGAAATACTATGCAGAAATAACAAGGGATGAACTACTAGTCATAACATAGGTGAATTCTGAAAGAATGTTGAAAAAAATCCCAACACAAAAGCATACATATTGGTAATTCCATTAATATGTAGTTGTAGACCAGGTAAAACTAATCTATGGTGATAGAAACCAAAGCAGTGCTTGGGCAGGGGCAGGGTGTGAAGGGAAAGGACTAGAAAAGTATATGAAGGAACTTTCTGGAGTGACTGAAATGTTCTATATATCTACTGGGGTTGTAGTTAAACAAATGTATACATTTTTCAAAATTAATCAAATTATACACTTAAAAATGTGTGCTTTTGGGGCTTCCCTGGTGGCACAGTGGTTAAGAATCTGCCTGCCAATGCAAGGGACATGGGTTAAAGCCCTGGCCCGGGACGATCCCACATGCTGCAGAGCAACTAAGCCTGTGCGCCACAACTACTGAGCCTGTGCTCTAGAGCCCGCAAGCCACAACTACTGAGCCCATGTGCCACAACTACTGAAGCCTGCACACCTAGAGCCTGTGCTCCGCAACAAGAGAAGCCACCGCAATGAGAAGCCTGCTCACCACAACAAAAAGTACTCCCCACTCACCGAAACTAGAGAAAGCCTGCACACAGCACCAAAGACCCAACACAGCTAAAAATGAATGAATGAATGAATGAATTTTTTTTAAAAGTGTGCTTTTTAAGTAAATTGTACCTCAATTTTTTAAAAGGAGAGGATTGTGGGAGAAAACACTATATATATGGTATATATATAGTGTATTTACATTATTTACATTATAGACATCAAAACCATGGATTCACATTACAGAGATCTCACTAAAACAGAAATATTGAACATTTACCATGCTCAAAGCACAATGCCAGGCACTGGGAATATTTCTGTGCATTCATTCACTGACTTAAAAGCATTCATTAGGTATGAAAAGAAAAACATGACTGTGAAAACGTTCACAGTGCAATAGGAAGACATATAAATAATTTTATCACTGTGATACAGTCTACGACTGAGCAAACATAATGTAGACAAGAGGTCTGCATAGGGAGGTCAGGTATGGACTCACTGAAGAGCAATAATAAATGATACACAATGAATAATAAATAATAGCTAACAGTTATACATTATTGTATACCAGCTACTGTTCTAAGGGCATTACGTATGTTAATTCATTTACCCTTCACACCACTGATTCATCGTCACAACTTTACTCCTATTTTATGCGCGAGAAAACTAAGGCATAGAGAGATTAGGTAACCTGCCCAAAATAACACTGCCAAATACATGGTATACGGCAAAGCTGGGTTTAGATTCCAGGCAGTGTGTCTTTGGAGTCCACAATCATAACCGTTACTCTGTACTATCGATTAAGTACTTAAAGCCTCTCAGCTTCAAGTTGGGAATAAGGGTA